AAAGCTGCCTACTTTTATTATAACAGATCTACAGAGCTTCCTCACACTAATCAATCACCCTGTATACTATTTTTAGCTCTCTAAATAAAATTTAAAAATTTAGTTCCCATTTATTTATTATGAAGACCATAAGGTTTGTATTTAGCTGTTTAGAATAAAAAAGTAAAAATATGTATTTTTTTGGCGTTTTTTTGTTTCATGGATAATTTTTTTCGCTCACTGATAAAAATGTTTCTTCAGTTAAACATTATTTCTAAAAGTGTTCTGGTGCGATTCGTTGTATTGTTATTATTTTGTTTAAAATGGCTCACAATAACTACAATAATGATTACACATTCGGCGAAATGACGGACATGCACTTATGTTTTGGACTCGCTTCTGGAAATGCCAATGAAGCTCGCAGACTTTATCAGGAGCGCTTTCCAAATAGGCATCTTCCATGCGCTAAGACGTTTTCTAGAATTGACGATAGACTTCGGGAAACTGGTACATTTAAGAAAAACTCTAGTAACAGTGGAAGACAAAATTATGTGAGAACTCCTGCTTTGAAAGAAGCAATTTTGGATAGGGTAGCTGAAACCCCATCGACAAGTACCAGAAAAATAGCAAATGGTAAGTAATTACTTATTTATTATTTTAGCTACCCCGTACCTTATCGTATAAAACTAGTTTTTTTACTTGTTATTGCTTCTCTTACATTTCACGACTTTTCGTATCGAAAAGAGTTGCGTTATGCAGAAAAAATCTGATTTCCCAAATCAATGGATTCTCTTTCTTAACTATTCACTACACAGATTCTCTCATTTAATTTCAGAAGTGGGAGTCGGACGTAACACGGTATGGAAAGTTTTGCGTGAACAACAATTGTACCCTTACCACATTCAAAAAGTTCAGGCACTTAAAGCTACTGATTATGAGCCGCGAGTTATCTTTTCTGAATGGTTTCTTGGAAGATGTAATCAAGATGCAATGTTTCTTAATAAAGTGCTATTTACTGATGAAGCTGGTTTCACTAGAGATGGTATAATAAATTTTCGAAATATGCATGAATGGGCTGAAGATAACCCTCACGCGGTTGTTGAACGTCACCACCAGGATAAATTTTCAATAAACGTCTGGGCTGGAGTTATTGATAATTACCTTATTGGACCATTTATTTTGCCGAATAGGTTAAATGGAGCAGCATACAGGCTTTTTTTGGAAAATAACTTACATGAGCTTCTTGATAATATTCCGATTCAAATCAGACATAACATGTGGTTTATGCATGATGGAGCTCCACCACATTACAGTCTTGAAGCTAGACAGCACCTTAACGAAAGATTTGAGGGTAGAGTAATTGGCAGAGGTTGTCCTGTTAACTGGCCACCTCGTTCACCAGATCTAAATCCAATGGATTTTTTTGTTTGGGGTTATTTAAAATCATTGGTTTATTCCAGTCCTGTTAAAACAGTTGAAGAATTGGAAGAACGAGTTTTTCATCATTGCGAAGTTCTTAGGAATAATCCTGAAGTATTTTTTCGTGTAAGACAGTCTATGATGCGACGGTTGCGCTTGTGTGTGGAAACCAATGGTCGCCACATTGAGCATCTGCTTTAATTTTTTTTGATTTGTTTTTTTAGAATAAATATTTTTTTAAACCGTTTCTTATTATTAAATAAAAATAGTCCCACCACGACATTTGAACTACAATTATTTAGAGAGAGCTAAAAAAGTTATTTTTATTTACGAGATTCACCGAGGTAATTTAGGAAAATTGAAAATTAAGCTAAAGTGGACGAATATCTTTGGATGATGTTTTCTCGGAAACGGCTGCTCCAATCGAGATCAAACAAGTATTCCTTTTTGACGTAGTTTTCAATGTAGAATGTAAAAAAAAATATGGATAAGTCATTACCAAAAACACAAAAAAGTTATGAATAATCAAAATTTTCAAAAAATTCCCAAGTACACCGCTGACGAAATAATTTCTTTTTGAAGGTGTCAAAAGGTCACTATTATTGATTATATTTAACAGCCAAAATTTGGTTTTTTTATTTGTTTCCATTTTTAAGAAAATTCAAAAAATCAAAATAAAAAAAATGATTTCGAGAGGCTGTTGCTCGCTTAGGGGGCACTTTAGGACATAGGTCTATAAGAACTTTTTTTCCATTTTTTGGTTAAGAAATCTGCCTGAGAATTTTGGGACACATTTTAAAGGACACCCTGTATAACCTCCAAAACACAAACTGATTATTGATAAAACGAAACTAAACACTAATAAAACAGAAACTAATATTCTATAAAATTTTAAAAAGTACGATGCAGGAGCTGTTTTCCGTATAAAACTCAACAGGTCACTAAGATGAACAAAACTCCACTGAAAGTAAAAATAATTATTTTTATTCAAATACGTTTCATTTTCCTTTTCGGCATTGGTTCGGCTCTTTAAATGGACAAAGACAATATGCCGACGAAGGCAATAGCCGACAAAGGCAATAGCCGTCAAAGACGATACACCGCCAAAAACAATATACTTACAGAGGCAGTATACCGACAAAGCTATGCACGCTTCTTGGAGAAAAAATGCAAAATTTTATCAAAAACACTAAAATCGTTGAAGGAAAACATCAGTTATAAATCCTACTTATTTTATTCTAATTAGGTATATATGTATATAAAAAATAACTATTTTAAATCTTCAAATCGAAAGAAACAACAGTCCGTCTATGGGCGGTCTATCAAAGAATTAGTTTAGCTGACTTCCGACAAGCAACCCGTTCCCTATACCAATTTTTTTTTGAATTATTCAAATAGGTGCCGAACTTTTTTTGCGTTTGCGGTATTCCTTTATAGTTGACTTATTGTTTGGATGGACTATACTTGAGAGGATTAAATTATAAACACCCTCCTTAAACCAACAAATTTTGCTAAATATCCTTTCAGATAGTTGTATTAATATCTTCAAATTTCTAAATGACTCAGTTTACTTTTAACTTCATTTCAGTCTTTATTGTTGTGTTGTATTAACCAGTGGGAAAAATGGCAAAATTAATTGATCGTGGGTAAAATCTTATTCAGATTTTGTTGTAGAAGGTGATAACCAGGTGTTTTGTAAAACATGTTCTAAAATTGTAAGTACTTTTTTATTTTATATTTTATTTTGACCTTTCACAATGGTAAATCAAACGATAGTAAAATATTATTTCAACTCACAGTTAAAAAAAAGTAGGGCAACGTTACAACGTACGCATTTATTTAATTTAATTAAAACTTCAACATCTACAGGAATTTATTTGTTTTAGATTCCATGTAAAAAAAAAGTTTCAAATCGACCAACACGCGAAAACACCTTCACATATAGCAATGCAAAAATCTAAAGACACTCGCAGACAAAGTTAACTTCCCTTGAAACAATATTTAGAATCTGCATCGTCTAGAAGTGAACAAGCTATTTTTAATGAAGATTTATGCAGCTTTAGTGACTTCGAATATCCCTTTAATACGATTAAATAATCCAAATCTCCGATCATTTTTGCAAAAATACTGTAAATTTAATATTCCAAAGCAAAGTATATTACGCAAACGTGGTGTTGACAGTTTGTACATTGAGACTCGTAAAAAAATTCGTGAGATTGCCGTTGGAAACCATTTCTACATTATTGTGGATAAAACAACAGACTCTTGTGGTCGATATATAGCCCATTTAATGATAGTATTGTCTTCCTTTTTTCTTCCGGAAGCCGTTCCAACAGAAAAATGTTTATTGCTGTTATCCGATGCTGCCCCGTACATGGTAAAAGCCGCACAAAATTTAAAAATGTTTTATGAAAACTTAATCCATGTTACATGTTTGGCTCATGGCCTTAACAGAGTTGCAGAAGAAATTAGGTCTAACTTTCCTTTAATAAATGATTTAATTAGTAATGTAAAAAGAATATTTCTTAAAGCTCCTTTAAGAACTCAATTGTACAAAGAAAAATTTTCTGAATTACAGATGCTACCGGAACCTGTGATTACTTGGTGGGGTACCTGGCTTAAAGCTGCCTTTTTTTACGCAGATAATTATGAAAAAATTAAAGAAATCATATTTGATTTTGATGATTCATCTAAGGGAATATCTAATACAAAGAAGTTTCAAAATCCAAAGCAATTAGTGTTTTTGAAAAATTATGCATTTGTACCCAAAATTACATTAGATTTAGAACAAAAAAATTACCTTTGATGACTTCCGTAAATTTAATTAAGACGTTTGAATCAGAGTGTAAAAATGTCCAGGGCGATATTGGAAAGACGATTTTTCATAAATTTTCAAATGTAATTTTAAAAAATGAAGGATTTATTGTTATAAGAAACCTTGCTAATATTTATTCTGGTAACTTTGAAGATAATAATACTATTCATCCAGATATTTTAGGAAAATTTAAGTTTGCACCTATTACTTCTGTAGATGTCGAAAGGAGTTTTTCTTTGTACAAGTACATACTTACTGATAGGAGACAATCATTTAATATAGATAATTTAGAAAAACATCTAATTGTTCATTCGTTTTATAATAATGTTGATTTGTAAATAAAATTAGTTAATAATTAAATAATTATTAAGTATTATATTAGGTATTGTAAAATAAAACAAATAATAAATATTAATAAACTATTTCGATCAAATAACAAATTACTCTTATTGCATATGCTCTGCATATTTTTCAATTTTTTACGCATATATTAAAGTATTTTGCGGCATATATATATATATATATATATATATATATATATATATATATATATATATATATATATATATATATATATATATATGCGCATATTTAACTACTTTTTGGGTCTAATTATAACTATCAGGGAAAAGTTCATTATTGAAAACAGAAGGAACCAGCCAGGTCTCAATTAAAATGACAATTTCAAAACAGTACTGAGTTAGATTATTTAGAAATTCCGTTGTCTTGGTCCGCAGACGTCTTGTAGCAAGACCAAGGCCAAGACCGTCTATGTGAAACCAAAACTATGGATCCGATGTAAGACACAAACCAAAAACGCAAATATTGCTTTTTGTTCCTTATTAATCTTCCGGTAGTGCATTTTTATTGACTACGTTTTTATTTCTTTGTCTATTTCGTAAATATTGACCAAAATTGATTTTTTTTTTGTAAATAAGTCATGCCAAAATAAATTTTAAACATAGAAACTTATATTTATTGGTGATAAAGTTTATTGAATCACTTTTTATCGATTTTTTTTATAAAATAACATCCTGAATAAACAATTATAATTCGATTATTACTCACTAATTGATAATAATTGCGGTGATTGACATCCTTGGATAAAGTACCTATATATTAATTATATTTTTAGTGTTTATGATAAAGGCAAATTAATTGATTTTTAATACATGGCTATGCTTTACAAAAACGTTAACGAAATAAATGTCAGTTGATTACTATTGAAAAACAGTAAAACCGGCCAAGTGCGAGTCGGACTCGCGCATGAAGGGTTCCGCACCTCCATTCAAGATTTAAGACTATGTAGGTACTTTTTAAATAGATGGACCAAAAAAAGCACGTTTCTGTAAGAAGTGCCCCCTTTAATTTTTAATTTATTTTTTTTATTTGTTGACAAAAATATACATTCTGTAAAAATTTCAAGATACAGCCCGCTGACAGAGAGACGGATGGAGAGCGGAGGCTTAGTAATAGGGTCCCGTTGGTTAACCTTGGGGTACGGAACCCTAAAACATTATCTCCTGACGTAATCGGATTGTATTTGATGGATTTAAGGTAATAGCATTATAAGGTATTTTTTATTCAAGTCGATGGCATTAATAAAATGAAAAATTGGCATAACATAGACCATGGCCTATGGCTTAATTTTAGGTTCTTTGCTGGTGACTACCTATTTTGCGCTCCAAAGTACAAAGTTACTTTTTCTACACCTACATATAAATATATTATATATTTTTACTACACCCACATGGACATTATCTATTCTACTGACTACTGAACGAAAAAGAAGTCCATTGCGTTCTACTAAAACTAAACGAATATAATGCATATCCATACTACTCAGTAAGACCACTGCACAGATATGAAATCCACCAATCATAGTTCATATTTGGTCACCAGGTTACTATTATTTTTTGTTAATTTAAATACGTGGCAATTTTGTTAAACTTTCAATTTTATAGTTATTGAAATTAAATCTGATTATCTCATATCTATTTGGAACTTTTTAATATTTCCAATACATGTATTGTTCCTTTTAGTATAGTTTAATAATAATGTAATACTCAATTTTTTAACTTATTTAGGTTCTACTACTAGTATCACCACATAATATATTCACTAATTTTGCTGAAATACCACACACAACATACCTCTGTTTTTACATTAATATATTTTTCTGCTCCTATACTATAAGTTGCTAATTTTCAATTTCATAATGATACTCATTATAACACTGGTTTTCATTATGAAACTGAAAAATTGACCAATAGAAATCTAGATTTTTAAATAACCAAGTAGGCAGACCCAATATTTTCTATAGAATGTTTCACAGTTTCTAATAAATTCGTGTTTTATGACAGTTTCAATCTTTTGCGTGAATCAAAAAGGTAGATGGGTACCTCTCACTTATTTTTAAAAAAATGTCGACGAAGAGTTTTCATGCACTTCACCTGAAATTAATGAAATGGCGAAACATGTAGTCATTATATTGGTTATTGTGTAGGAATAAAAATTAAGTCGAAGAACTAATTTTTATTTCATACATTATTTTTTATTGTTTTGCATAAAAAAGTATTAAAAAAACAAAGCAATGTTCTTGAAATGAAATAGTTTCTTAGTCGTAGAAAAAATAGTGTATGCAACTCTCACGTAATGGCTATTAATACATAATCGTTGTTAAAAAAACACGTATTTTTTGTGCCAAAATAATTTAAGTTCTTACATAGTAATCTCACTTTAATAAATATTTTATTTTTTTATTGCCTTGGCCATTATATCCTTTTCTTTTAACCCAGTTACTCAATAATGGTTTGTGTGATACAGATAATCCACTAGAATTGTAGAATATATTTTTTTACGCCTCACTATGGAAAATTTACCAATATTAAAAACTAATTTAGGTCGTCGGAATATTTTTTTTATGTATGTTAAGCGATAATTCTTTAACACGTCCGATTTCTATGATTATTTTTTGTTAGTAAGGTGGTCCCCTATAAATTAGGTCAATATTTGGTTATGGCATCTGTATAATTTTGAAGACGGTTTTTAAATTTATTTTTAAAATAAAATATCTAATTTAAAAATAATGTATGACTTTTACTAATTTATACAAGGAGTTCGAATAAAGTCGTTTCCCGCAATGAAAGGGTTAGGAAAATGTACATTTGTTTAAGGATCCAAGTATCAACATTTTTTTAAATTTATATTTCTCCATAAATGAATGGCCTATGATAGATAGATCTTTATTAATTAGAAACCCTAACATATACAGTGCGTCCATAAAGTAACGCATAAATTCATTATTGGCTAAATGAACAATAAAATTAGGAATTCCCAAAACAGGTCGATTTTTGATTTCAATTTACTATTGTTTCAAATCATAATCTAATATACAGGGTGAACCACTTTCGTGTAATGATGTCATCACCATTTTTTTCAAATGGAACCCCCCCTCTTTTTTCAATTTCCAAATTGCCTTTGCTGAGCTGATTCTAAAAATGTATAATATGTTGCTTCAAATTGGTACAGGGTGGGCAAAAATGCAAAAATTTACTTACAAAGTAATGAAAATAACGAATAAACGTAATAAACACATTAAATGAAATTACGTATTGTTATTACAACTACTTTGATAAACTATCAAGAACATACAGCATTATTCTTAATAATTGTATCTTACAGCTTTTATTAGTGATCCAAGCCCCTGGACTATAAAAATCTTTTTGTTTGGCATTATCTTTTACCAGTTTTTTTTATTTGACATACCAGTTTTTTTATTTGACAACACTGTCAAAAACATTGAAGCACAGTTTCGTATTGTTAACGCTGTAGAGAAGGTACGTTCGTGAACTTTTTTTACAAAATGCCTTTAACCGAAAGTGACAGGATTGAAATATTAATGATGATTGGTATTGGCGATAAGATGCGGACTCAACAAGAGGTATGCCGATTATTCCATGAAATGCACCCAGATCGTGAACCTATTTCACAATCTACGGTAAGTAGAATAGAGCGAAAATACAGAGAATTAGGACATGTGAGGGATGCAGCAAGGCAAGGTAGACCAAAAATTGATGAAAATATTCAACAAGACATAATTTTGTCGGCTGTAGAAAATCCACACTGTACAGTGCGAGGATTATCTAGGGATTTTGGTATTGGAAAGTCTTCAGTATCAAACATTTTCAAAAAGGTAAAATACCATCCTTATAAAGTACGTCTCATCCATGAATTGGCTGAAGACGACTTTGACCGAAGAACTGAATTCTGCGAGTATATGATGAACCAAAATAACAATTTCATTGATAACGTTTTATTTTCGGACGAGGCAACGTTTTATTTGAACGGTCATGTTAACCGGCAAAACACCCGTTATTGGTCTGATGAAAATCCACACTGGATGCAAGAGTACCATACGCAAAGACCACAAAAAACTAACGTATGGGCTGGTATTGTGAGAAATACAATTATTGGTCCATATTTTTTCGATGAAAACTTAACAGGAGCATTATATCTGGATTTCCTACAAAATACATTAATTCCTGATCTGATCCAGCTTTTTCCTGATATTCAAATACCCACTAATGTAGACCGCAGAATCTGGTTTCAACAGGATGGCGCACCGCCACATTACGCAGTAGCTGTGCGCAATTTTTTAAACACAACTTTTCCACAAAGGTGGATAGGAAGAAGGGGACCAGTGGAATGGCCTGCTAGATCACCTGATCTGAACCCATTAGACTTCTTTTTATGGGGTTATTTAAAATCTAAAGTCTACTTCAACAGACCTGGAAATATCCCTCAACTACAAGACCGAATCAGACAAGAAATACAGAGCATAACACCCGCTATGCTACAGAATGTTAGAGACGAAAGTAATGCCCGGTTCAGTCATTGTCTAACGGTCAATGGAGAACAATTTGAACATTTATTGTAAATTTTCGTTCGTTTGTTTGTTTTTGGAAGTGTATCACATTAATTGCATAACTACATAATTCCATTTAATTTGTTTATTACATTCAGTAACGTATTACTTTCCATAAACAATTTTCATATTTTTTTTTGCATTTTTGCCCACCCTGTACCAATTTGAAGCAACATATTATACATTTTTAGAATCAGCTCAGCAAAGGCAATTTGGAAATTGAAAAAAGAGGGGGGGTTCCATTTGAAAAAAATGGTGATGACATCATTACACGAAAGTGGTTCACCCTGTATATTAGATTATGATTTGAAACAATAGTAAATTGAAATCAAAAATCGACCTGTTTTGGGAATTCCTAATTTTATTGTTCATTTAGCCAATAATGAATTTATGCGTTACTTTATGGACGCACTGTATAACAATAGAAGAAAATAGACTTAATATCCACAAGTCATTAATTCAAAACACTTTCAAATAAAAAAAAATGAGGTGAATTCCTTATTGTCAAAAAGGTGGTTTTTAATTTTTACGAAAGCTACATGCAAATGAAACCGGCCATTTTGGTCCTTAAACTTTATTACTGGTTTAGGCCTGTCACATATTTAGTCAGCTTTTGTGAGTAGGTCAGTAGAATGAGGTAAAAACTATGCTATTGTCCGGTAGATTGCACAAGGTATATTAATTTGTAGCAATATATACAAACGAATAACAAAATTGCTATTTACTACCTACAAATAAAGAATGTTTTATTACAAGTTATAAAAGTAATTTTAAAAATGCCATCCCCAGATCTTGAGCAAATTTATATGGAACCAAAAAATAAACATTGAAATCTGACAGCGCGTTAAAGAATTATCGCCGAGCATATATAAAAAATAAAGAGTTTGAGGATTTTCTCATGGACCCAATCAGTGGATTTTCATTAAATTTATATGGGACCACCACTGAAGTATCCCGTCTAACAAAAAAAGAATTATTAAAATCGGATATCGCTAAATATACGTAAAAAAATATTCCGACGAATTGAGAATCTCCTCCTTTTTTTAAAGTCGGTTGAAAATAAAATAAACTCGAAAAAAAAAACGATTTTGTTTAATTAGTCTTGAGTCCAAGATTTGAACCCCGAATTTTTCGAATGGCAACTCAGCACGCCTCCGTTAGCTCTATCGAGACACTTAACTTATTAGTTTTAATACTCATAATTAAATTGATTTTATATAGTTTTTTTTTTAATTTATTATTTTGTAGGGTTTTTTTTTTCCGAAAATCAACTTACCTAATATAGATACACCTTTTAGAGAGACACCACACAAGTCGGCTGCTTGCTTTGCTTACAGTTCATAATTAAAACACTGCTAGATGGTGCTAATAAAGGCCAATTTTAGCGTTTAACGTAAATATTTCAAATATAATTAACAAAATGTCGTCGTCCGATGAAGATGTGGTTCACGACAATGTCATAACAAAACGAAAAAAGGGTGTTAAAAGTGTTGTTTAACTGCGAAGTTATAAAAAAAGCAAGGGTGAAAGGCGAGGCATATACAAACTACAAAGGAAATGCAGTAAATGCTCGAGTCCAAGAACAAAACTGTGGGTACCTAAGTTATGTGAATTTTTAACCTCACTTCTGCAAGAAATTAATTGGTTTCATAGTGACGACTACACGGTGTTAAATTTTAAGGTGTAGGACAAAATGTCTTTCAAAAATATCCGAAGGTGATCGTGCTGAAATCTTTTTATTTTAGTACAAATAATGAACAGGATGCGTATCTCCAGGCTTTGATAGAATGTACTCCAGTGACAAGAAAACGTCCACGAGTAAATCCAGAGGGTGCGAAACCTAAATCGCATACTTTCAAATACAATGTATCGTTTAGTTCTGGTAAGTTTGCAGTATACAAGGCGGCATTTATCAGTATACATGGCATAACCACTGATCGTGTCCGGCGTTTGTCCAATCTACTTTCTTTGGGAAAATCTCCTAAAGACAAACGAAGAAAACAAACTTCTGGAAATACTATACCAGGAGAATTCATAAGATTGATAGAGGATCACATTAGATATTTTCCTGTCAAGCGTGCTCATTACACTAACAGGGATTACCAATATTTGAGTGAAAAACTGGACATCAAGAAAATGCATCAACTTCTGCTTGAGTTATACCCAGAATGTTCTGTAAAGTACAGTTTTCATAGACGAATTTTTCGAGAAATATTCAGTTTATCTTTTGGAAGGTCCCGAGTGGATACGTGCGAAGAACTTTCCAACAAGAATAAATCGAAGTATTTAAACGATGCTGCAAAGGAGAGCGAAGAAGTTTTTCACGAAAATGGAGTCAATTCAAGAATTATGCCGAAACGATCCATCGGTTGGAGGGATATGTATTGACTACATGCAAAATCTCCCTCTTCATTCGATTCCTGTCCAGGATATATTTTATCTACACCAGCTGACAGTAAACGTCTTTAATGTCCTTAATTTGAAAACTGTTGAGTCGTTTTTCTACATCTGTCATGAAGGTTTGAGCAAAAAAGGACCCAACGAGGTTTGTTCTACATAAGGCGAGAAATTCCTAAAACTAGTAAACATTTTCATATTTTTTCCGACGGATGTGGAGGACAAAATAATAATCACTACGTTATAAAGATGTGTAGGGCACTAGTAGATCTTGGACGTTTTGTGACTGTTAATCAGTATTTTCCGATAAGAGGCCATTCCTTCATGCCTTGTAATAGGAACTTCGCTGTGGTAAAAAGAAAGATAAAGAAAAATGACAGAATTTTTTTATTGAAAGAATATACTGAACTCATTATTACGTCAAGCTCCAATGAAAGTTTTTCCATTTATCTGTTGAATGAAGAAAACAGCGTGTTAAAAGATTAAAAAACATGGTGGCCCCAATTCTACAATAAAAACTGCTTGTATACAGCTTCCTTAGGTAAAGGTGTACCAAAAGATGAGAAAGTTTCCTTCACTATTTTAACTTTTATGCAGTTCACTCATACAGAAGACAAGAAAGGTTATGTCCTTGCCCGCAAGTACATTGATGGTCTTACCGAACACGAATTTAAATTAAACACATCCACGACAACCACATCTTTTCCCGTCGAAGCTGCCTATCTAGACGTCAAGGTACCAATTAATGCCAAAACATGGTATCCTTTAAGAAATTTGAACGATTTACTCGCGACCAAGATTAACCGATAAGAAATTTTTATCAATAAATATTTTCCTGGCCAACAGTGGGTAGAAAAGATGAAGATGTTGTTGAATATTAAAAATTTAGTTAATCATGTATCCATTGAATAAAGATGTTAAAAAAAAATAACTAAAAAAGTTCTGTGCAAATAAACGTGTATTTTAGAAACCACACATGTCCAGTCGCCATTTTATGCTTTTATTGATGTAGAAAAAGCGTATATTTAAATTTGCGTATTCACATACCTTCACAAACCCTAATAATCGAATTAAATTACGGGTTTTGAGCTTACATTAAATTGTAATTAGTTGAAACAAATGGATTCTATGTATTTTGAGGTGATCTTTTCGAAAAAAAGGCAAAACAAAATGTAGCAGTTTTTCGAAAGTGCCGAAATTTTGGATTTTGTCAATTTTTCAATTTTGCGCAGGCGCATGTCGAAAATAAATCAATATTTTTAAAACGCCGTTTACGACATTTGAAAGCTTAGGAATAATGCTAATTTTTATGTCTCTTGAGAAATTTTGATCTGATGCACCGTTCTCGCGGTATGGACGATTGAAATTTGTTTAGTATTTTGAGGCGACGAAGGTCGAAAAATTGAATTTGTTAAATGTTCAAACACTAAATTCTTTATAACATTGGTAAAAATTAAGATATTTGAAAAAACAAAAATGTGTCTTGAACTTAAGGGATGTGACTAGTAATTTCCGGAAGGGGGCAAGAGAAATCCCAAAATTGGGCATATGGCGGAAGGACAAAATGCACCGCGGTCCTAATTTCATTGTTTGCCTATAACGGCCAAACTATTTTAATTTTTTTAATGCCACTTACAAAGCTTACTCTTAAATGTGAAATCTTATGTTTGTGTGAATTTCACCGACATCAGACCATAATTGGCTAAGATATCAAACAATTAAATCATTTTTTTTTTCGAAAGTTTGAAGTGGCACAAAAATGCCAAAAATGCACCCAATGGCTGAAAACTTTTTTTTTGAGTACTCTATTGTGTCTAGAATACGATTACATTACGGAAAATTCTGCAAATATATTTTATCTATTTTTTTGACCACTGTTCATTGAGTGACGACCAAAAAACACGGTTTTTGAGAAAAGTTGCCTAAAATTGACAATTTTTTGTTTTTTGTCTGAAAATTAAACAAACCCAAATTTCATGTCTTCTAAATGTGTATACAAAGTTTAAAGTGTGTATGTTTCTTCTAAGTTGTAGAATTCTCCCGACAAAAGTCCCATTACACGCGCTCAGCGGGATCCAAAACTCGTGTATACACTACATTACTGTAATTTGATTTTTTTGCGATTTCCAGTTTTAAATTTCTTGCATATCTAAATTTATTAGGCTTAAAATTTATTAAATTGTATTTTACTGACTTGTTATAAGACGTTTCTTGAGTTTTGTGCAAAATATAGAATTACCAGATATTAGCGAACAAAAAGCAAGCTTATCACCAAGTTGGAACTTACACTCAGGCTTAGGATTAATTTCCTAACATTTTTAAAGTATACCTTTTTGTGTATTTTTTTGTGCTCTTTTCGATGGCGAAGTTAGTTTTTTTCAAATATATTTTTTAACTACGCCTCTGGTTTCCTGCGAATTCCCGAAAAATTATGTCAGATTTCGCCGCGGGACTTATTTTATTTGAGAGCCAACAAAAAAATACGCAACTTCTCTCATGGGCACATATGTCTAACATCATGGGCGTCGTTTGGGGGGGGGGCAAGGGGGGCAGTTGCCCCCCCCTGGCTTTTACGGCTTAATCAACAACGCATAAGATATTATGCATTACGAACAACAATCTCATAGAAATAATATTCAGGCTAATATAGTTGAAGAATATTATAGGTTGAATATATTTATTGCATATCTGGGTTCCGCTTTTCCAAAGACTTTGTCAGTTTTTCCTTAAGCACGTACATCCCAAAAACATAAAAAATACTTTTTTCACTACCGATAACAAAATGAAAGTGGTGGAAAAATTTGGAATCGACAATTTTGAAGCTGAATACTAAACTGGAATACGAAAGAGCTTTCTGCACACAATGAGCTCTCCATTGATGATATAGCGTCCAAATATTGTGAATTTTATTTAGACATACAAAATGGTTTACAAAATATTTATGGCTCTTCCATCAACGACAGAGTTAATCGAAAAAACGTTTGGAACACTTAGGCATGTTTTAGGGCGATATTTTGTAATTTTGGTATATCAAATACACGTATACATTTTACTTTTTATTAAAAAAATAGGTAAAAACAATAAAATGAGCAACCGGAGTTGCTATGTTGCAAATTATACTAGCAAAAAGACTGTAAATTATATGAATGTTCAGTAGCAAAATCGAAATTAAATAAAAGAAATAAATGGACAGCTGTATAATAAGAACAAAAAAATCTTTATTTTTGTAATAATTAAGCAATTATTTTTTTATGATATTCTTTAACATCCCTTAAATCTTAAAAGTTTAGTAAATGATTAGATTTCTGCCTTTAATTATTGTATATGGCTGACATGCAATCTTGTGACTTATTGATAGGAAACCAGTTTTATTCATTAATTTCTATGGGTTCTTTCGAACTAAAAATGAAGAAAATATAAATTACAATCGCAAATATACCAATTATTTTTGTTATTACGTTTTAATTCTACGTTATTATATAATGGTAATATTTTTATTTTGACATTATTTAACCTATTCTTCAATGACAACTTATTATATTATATTATATCCAAATAGCTGCCGGTGGGCTTTTACAAGATCAATGATATATATAGTTATATAGATTGCTCAAAGCGAGTAGCATTGCAAGCGGCCATATTGGCTCGCAAGGGTTCATTAATCAGAATTGAATTAGCAAAAATGTGTTTTAAAATAAATTTCACCCTTTAAATATATTAAAAAAAAATAATTAGCTACCTTTTTACTTTAAATCATGAGCTTATATTTGGTATTTTGAAAAATATATGATTAATCTACATAACTATATATCACTGATCCTATCAAATCTCTCGGGCAGCCATTTTGTTTGTAATGCCATAACTGTGATTGATGAATTTCATATTCGTGCAATGTTCTTAATAGATAGATTTTATATGAAATATATTCGTTCATATGATCGCAATGGCGTTCTTTGTAGTTCATGGGCAGAGCAGCTAATATCCATATAGGTGTGGAAAATTACTACTTTCAATTGCAAAAAATGATATTAAGTAATTGTTACATTATGTCTGGTATTATAAGGTGTAATGAAAAAAAAATCTTGACTTTTGAAATATAAAATAATCTTACCTCATCTTCTTGTAGTTATATTAATAAAAATATGAAGACAGTTTAAAAGTATTTACATTAGAGTTTTCAAAATATCACTTGCCATTACACATTTTAAAAATAATTATTTATAAAGAATGGACCAAAATTTAAGACCGCACTGTATTTTATTTACTGGATATTATTTAATATATCATTAAACATTTAACACAAACTAAATGGACAACCTTATAATTCTATATATCAGTAGAAATATAAAATTATCATTATATCCGCATTATCGTATAATGATTTATTAAGTGTAGGTTGAAAAACAAAAAAAATCCTACCTTTTCTGGCAATTCTTTCAAATCTCCGTGCACGACACTTAGCGCTCGAACTTGTCCAATAACAACGTCGGGTGTACCAAAGCTCTTGGTGAATCCCCCGATCTCATTCGTGAATCTGCAAAAGAGCAAATTTTGCTTTTTTAATATCAGTACCAGCGTTCTCATCTTGAGCGCATCCACTTTTTCACTGTGACCGAAACGTAGACAAAAGACCTCTTATATCAATTAATAAAGATAATTGCAACACACAATTCGATCGAAGTAAATACATTTGATGTAAACGGTTTTATCAGTTTTGTAATAAGCATCGTCGAACGACCGAAAAATATTGTGTACTGTGCACTCTAAAAGTTCTAATTAGGTTTACATAGAACTCAAAATACGCACTGATATATGGTGTACCAAACAAAAAAATGCAACAATTTTAATTTAATAAATTAAATTAGGTGGCAGCAAACTTATAACTAATCTTTATATGCTTTGCAAATAGTTTTGAATGCGAATTATCTAATAAAACGCTCTTTATCATTTTAATTGGGTATTTAAAATTGTTGTATATTCTTTTTTAGAAAGCATTCAATATATTTTATCTATTAAAATTTTAACAATATCGTTTATTAACTACCATTTTTAGTTTCTTACTAATGTTATCTTAAACAATGGTTTCATAAACTTGCAATTGTAAAATAATAATTACTGTTATAAAATGTTTTCCTACTAGTCTAGGATGCAGTAAATTTTATTTTAAATTTTGATTTCAATAGATTGAATCACCCCAGTACAATGCAATGTTGACAAATAAAACAAATTCTTGACGTCATTTAATTCTCATATTAAGCAAATTATATTTTATCTTTTTTCTTTCCTTCGTTTTGATCTTTTGAGCACCATAATTGGGTTAGTTTATTGATTGTTTATCCACCCATTTCTTCACCCTTTCCAATCCATCTTCCCCAGCATTTTGTATTTTTCCTTTTTAACAGACTTCAAAAAAGGAGGAGGTTATCAATTCGTCGCGATATCCCAAAATCGTAGAGCTTAAAACACTATAAACATTTATAAAATAATAACATCACGTTACAAATTTAAAAATCATATCGATTTTAGTATTAATATGGACATTGCATAGATCAAAATAGAAATTAGGTGTTTGACATTTTGTGACAACTACTGCGGAAAGTAACATATTCTCACTCGGGTGGAAAGTAAATTCTTATTCATACGCGTGTGATATAGGGCACTTTCCATAGGACTATATAGTGTGATATGTGTCACTTTCCTAAGTGATCGTAGGAAAAATATATTTTTTTAATTTTAACGTATAAGTGACATCTTTTGTAATCCAGCAAGTGTCAAAACGATCTACTTTAAGCAACCAGTTATATAAAGTTGAATAATATGAAACTGGTTACAATATAGCTATTTATGCAACCAGTTACAAAATGTCTTATTTAATGTAACGAGTGAATATTTGCAAGACGAGCAGAACGAGGTCCCGCAATACGAACGAGAAATAAACAGAGAAATGAGAAGAGAGAAGAAATTCCAGATATTTAATTTTTTTTAATTTGTTATTCAGGATGTGTCCTATTAATATTTATATATTACATAGGGTGTATCTATTGTTTTATATTTATTCAGTGCCTTTCAAAAGTAGCTCCCCGTAGATTTGGCTACAAGCCACCACTGCTGTAGATATTCTTTCGAATATTTATTTTGTATAAAAATAGTTACCTTAATTTCTACTAAGGACACGAGCTTATGTTGGGTATTTTAAAAACATTTTTCGTGTTATAAACCCGAGTTAAAAAATATTAACATGTCTAAATAGTTTTGATAATAGATGATAACAATTTGAGACTACTCTTGTTTTAGAAATAATACATGAAATAAAATTGCAATAATGTAATACAAGTTTGAAACGGGATGTAAATAACTTTGATAAGAGATATAACCGACTTTGGTAAGAGATATAACCAATCTACATGGACACTTATCTTGTTCTTAGTAAAATGTAATCCACGCATTTAAATAAAAATCGATTCATTATATTTATTTATTTTTGCAAATTTTACCAAAAGTCACTAGATTTTTAACACTTTAAAGTTTGTTGCCATCTATTTTGAAAATTATTTTAATTGTGCTTTATTTCAGCGATAAATGTGAATTATTCTGTGATTTCAAAATAAGATGTTGTTTTAGCCCCGATTTTCGTAATCAGCTCCCCAAAAAACATATAAGATGGCTTAGTTTGCAAAACAACAAGTACAGTCAAAAAACATCCCTATTTAGGGGTGTTTTTTGCAATTTTAGGGGTGTTCCAACCATTGCTGCCAGTTTTAACCCTCATTTACGTAATTAGCGCCCCAAAATACGTAGGGGACAAATGGTCTCAACCTTTTACCGTTATTTTAAATGTACTAGTAAGTCTATTAGTGAACATGAATAGTCATTCAGATAGTGACGAAGAATTTACAAACTTGCAAGAGGAAGCCAACAATGTTTCTCTAAATTCACTACCTTAGTAAGTCAAGAGAACAATACGAAAAGTACTATGAATTGTTTAACAACTGGAAAAAGAATAAAAAAGCAAAAAGCTTATCTTTCTGAAAGATTAAAGATTGTAAATGCAGGTACAAAGATTTTCGTTATATTTTCCTTTTCTTTGTTTTTTTTTTGGTAGGCGAAAAACAGTTATGTGTCACATAAGCAGAAAACGCTTTAGCAGCCCTTAGCTATCAGCTGCCCTCGCTTCGCTCGCTTATGCAGCTAATAGCCGTGGGCTGCTAAAGCTCATTTTCTGCCCTTGTCACACAATATACTATTTGTTTGTGCGAGCCCTTAATAATTCCCTCAGACAATGCCGAGACGACCGCGACATATTCACGACCTACAATAACTTTGTAAAGAACCTTAACCAATACCAATTTAGAAAAAATAAATTCAACAATATGCACAAAGAAAAACTACGAATCTGTTTTTACAATGTGAACGGGGTGTTAAATAAACGCAGTTTAATAACAAACTTCATTCACAAGCATAAATTCGACATTATAATTTTAACAAATCAAATATATTACGTACCAGATTACAAGTTTTTTTTTATCCATGGAGGGGATCGTACCTAGGCATATATGCCTGTCTTGTGTGATCCCTTCCATAAAAAAAATACAATAATAAATTGTTTTAAAAGTACAAAAAAAAATTAAAAAGAAAAACGACTCAGTAATAGGAGTAATAGGAAACTAAAGCAAGACAGGTCCAAAAAGTGAGATAGGTTTAAAACTTTCTCCTGTAGTATAGTTAAACAGAAGTTAACGCTAAAAAATTGTAAAAAATACTTGAAAAGACACCAGAAATAATGTACGTTATTTGCAGTTTTATTTAAAATATTTCAAACATATCTGGGGAAGTTTGGATCAATTCCTTGATTTCAGTTTTAAATTTAGTTAATTTAGTTATTTGTTTCGAACCTTAAATCTACAAATAAATTCAGAATACGAGACTACAACACTATACGACAAGACAGACCTGAACATCATAGACATAACGTGCGACAAACGGTAGCTTTCCTTGTAAGATCCAAGTCGAACAATTACCCAACGCTAACACATCCCCCCATATTGAACACATCATTTTAAAATGTAATAATTATGTTTTTATAGGAGTGTACAGCCCCTCAGGCAGAAGGATTCTTGCGGCAGACATGCATGCCCTAATGTCAAAAGGCAACATAGTTTTTCTTGCACCCCGAGTGGGACGCGAACTGTACTCATGCGAACCCATCAGGTAACATGCTGAAAGAGTTCGCCGATGACAACGATCTTATCATCCACTATACAGACGAACCGACGCACACCTCATTTAATGGAACTACCCCTAGCACACTGGACATCGCAGTCACGAAAAACATTCCCGATATTCAAAATATACGAACAGTAAGTACCATTAACTCGGACCACGATCCAGTGTGCTTGGAGTTAAGGACAACACAAAAAATCAACAGACAGCAAAAACAGTACTATGACTTCAAAACTACGGACTGGAATAAATACAGACAAATTATAAACGACACATTAACACTCAACAATAATATAAATAGCCCTGAATTGCTAGAAAACACCACAAAAGACCTAATACAAATCATAAAAAAAGCTAGAAACGACCCCACAAAACTCAAAACAACATCACTACACAAAGACATACTGCCACCTGACATCACTGAACTGATTACCAACAAAAACAAAATACGCAAAAGGTGGCAGTTAGACAGGAGAGCGGAAGACAGGGTTATGCTAATGGACATTGCCAGGCATACGAACACTCAAATAAATGAACATAGAAATAAAATATGGCAAAAAACCCTGTCTGAAGTGAACCCCGGAGACAGTTCATTGTGGGGGGTTGTAAGAAGGTATAAAAAACCCAGCTCACAACTTCCCATAATGAACCAAGGACAAAATACATACACTACAGATAATGATAAGGGACAAGCCTTCGGCGAACATTTTCAGCGTAACTTCACAAACCAATACGTGAATAATGAACAACAAAATCAAATCGAAGAACTAATTAATAACATCGGCGCATCTGACCCAGTTCACGTCCCTCATTCTATCATGACCTCTCCTAAAGAGGTAGGGGATGCAATCAGGCGACTCGAAAACAGAAAAGCTCCGGGGCCGGATGGCATTAATAACATCCTACTTAAAAACCTTCCAAAAAAGAGGGTTGTGCAACTCAACTATATAATAAATGCAATCTTCAGGTTACAACATTATCCCAGTTGCCTGAAGATTGCAAATATTATTCCCATCTTAAAATCAGGTAAAAACCCCAAAAACATCGAAAGCTATATCCACCCATCTCGTTGCTGAATACAATAACAAAAATAACAGACTCAATTATTTTAAAAAGACTAAATAACATTGAACAACGACTCAGACTTATCCCGCAGGAACAGTACGGGTTTCGAAGGGGGCATAGTACCGTTGCTCAAATATTACGAATCGCTCACTATGCCAAAGAGGCCACCAACATAAGTAAACAAACGGTACTTGTCGCTCTTGACTGCGAAAAGGCCTTCGATTCTCTCTGGACCTGCGGGTTAATCCA